TAGGGATTTATACTGAGTTTCAAAATCATAAAAATATTTCATGCAACGTTTTTGCAAGTATGAAGTAAAAAGATTGTTGACCGTATTTTTGAAATTAAAAATTTAATTAGTAATTACTAATAATAAAGATAAAATATAATAAAAATAGTAACATATTACGAAATTGTTCCGTACCTTAGGCTATGTCCTAAAGGCAAAAGAATAATTCACTACATAATATATATATATATATTTTTTTTATGATTATTTTATATATTTTAATTTTAATTAAAAACAAACTATACAATTCATACTATTATTAATTTCATAAATTTAATTTAAATTTAAAAAAATATTTTATTTATTACATTATAAATTTACATTATTATATTTATTAGCTATCAAATCAATACACATCACACCTTCTGAAATTCAAACAAAACCTACTAATTTTCAAAATTATTTTAAAATTCAGATTCAAACCAAAATATAAACATATTATGAAATTTAACATTTTAAAACTTTCTCTTGATTAAATTTAAAATTTTATTTTTTTATTTTTTACAAAATAATAATAATAATAGGTCAATTAAGTAGAGCAAGGACAACAAAAAAGTACTAATTTATATGTTTTTTTTATTATTATTAATTTTCTAGTAAATAATTGTACTAACGAAACGCCAAATGTGCTTTTAGATGAATAATTACTAGTTGACAGCCATGCATGCACCTTTATTAATGTTAATATAATCACACTTGCCAATTATTTAATTTATATAAATTTCCACACTTGTTAAACAATAATAGTTTTTAATTGCATTTCTTTTTATTAAATTTTTATGCTGATTTGTATTCTTTGCTTTAAAATCTTGACATATTATGCTAATTTATTATTTTTTTACTATTGACTTTTTAATAACCCGTTCACTTAATTTGTTTATTTTTTCTATTTTTATCAGTCTTATATAATTTGTCGTTTCTTTTTTAGAAATATAATTATACACTTTAATCACATTTTAAAATTTTTAATTTATATTTTTTATTTTATTTAAACTACTTAGTCATCTTAATTTTAATCTATAATTGTTTTTATTAAATTATAATTATTCTTACTAATATATTTCTTAATTACTTACTAATTAGACAATACGTAACATTGTGTGTCTAAGCTAAAATAGAGAAATTAACTGGAACGGAGAGAATAGAAAATAGAAGGATGTTTTCTTTTTTTTGGGTTTTTTTAAACCTTTAGTATCATAAGCAACACCATACATTATGCAACAACAACTTGTAATACAATATTTTTAAAAAATATTTATTTGTCTTCAAATATTTTTGTTGTAATGAAAAGAATTATTAACTTACTAATTTTTTTTTTATTTTTTTTATTTAGATGTCGAATAACATTGAAATGTTAAAAATGTATTTGAAAGTACTTGTGCACCTAAATTATCAATTGAAAATACTACACGTGATGGTAATAAAAGTTGTCGAACTTCTCAACATAGCCAATCCCAATGTAAAAAGAGAAAAACTATGTAAAAAAATAATAAAGATACGAAAGAGAAAACTAAGTATGTCCATTATGGGATAATATTTGACGGTAAATTTCAAAATGAGATCACTACAATTAATACTCATTTGAAAAAGTGAAAAAAAGTTTCAAGTATAGATCTTACCCAATTCCAATTGATTTTACCATCTGAACAAAGTTCATGACTTAATACTTGTAGTTTTGATTAAGAAGAGGTTAAAAATGTCATAGTCATATGATTATCGTTGACGAGTTATTTTTTAAACTTGTTGAAAGAGAAAGATTTTAATACTTTACGTCTAATACTTGTTCTAAGTTGCAGATTTCGTCTAAATAGACAATTTCACATGATTGCTTTAAGTTGAGTAATAACGAAAAATACTTAATTGATAACATTGCTGAAATCTACAAATCAAAGATTATGTCTTATTACAAATATATTGACTTTTATTTTTTTAAAAAATGAATTATATGTCTTTTTTTTTTATATATTGAATTATACGTGTTTGACAATATATTATATTGATAATGATTGGAAATTGATTTTAATGTAAACTACTTCTTGGTGCCCATTGCCAAATCTCTCTTATGTAGATTTTTAGATGTTCATTGCCCAAACTTGCTTTGTATATTTCTTGTTGGAACATTGAAACAGAAATAGGAAAGCTTAAGTGTGTGTTTATCTGGGATTGAATTTTAAATATACTATTTATTTCATTTTTTTTTATATAAAAACATCAAATAAAACACTTATTTTTTATTTTTTATATTATACTAAAAATAAATTTTATATTCAAAACATCACGTCAACACAACTATTCAAATTCAAAATTATTACTATTCAAATCCCAATTCAGAATGCAAAACCCCCGTACAAACATACCCTAAGCTAAGTGGCATAAATTCTATTTACTTCTTAATTATTACTATTATTTTTATCTTGAATTGAATCTTACTGTGGGGTTAAATTTTAGGAGATTTTGAAAAAAAAAAAAAAACAGATATATATATATATATTGCACGAGCGAAGAGACTTGCCAACAAATTTGTCCAAACAGTTCAAATCGTCAATTCGATTACGGTTTAGTAAAATATTAAATTGAAATCGAATTTTTCAAGTGACGATTTTAGTTATAATTTGACGATTTTGATTACAGTTTAAAAATCATCGGTTACAGTTTACTGTCGATTTATATATATATATATTTATTTTTTATATTTTTCTTTTTTATTTTCTAATTTTTAAAATTTAAATTTTATTCAAAGATAATTAGATTTGATTTTGATTTTATTTAGATATATATTTATTATTTATTTATTATGTAAACATTATATATATAATATTAATTAGATTGTTATAATGTAAAAATAATTAAATTAAATTTGAATATATTAGATAATAAAATAATTTAAATTACATATAACTATATAATAGTAATATTTACAAAATTTTAAATATAAATATACCAAATAATTATATTATTATTTTTTCTATATCATGAATAATTATTTATTTTTATTAGCATTAATATTATTTTTATTTTTATAACAATTTAATAATATATAATACTTTTAATTATAAATATATTATTATATAAAATACTTCTCCACAGTTTTGCCCTAATAAAATCAGGTTCTTCCCCGATTCTTTCATTTCTCCTTCATTTCTCTTCCTCCTTTACGGTCTTCGTCTCGGTTCCAAATAAAAATATAAATAATGATTGAACCGTCGGTTTAAACTATAAGCGGCTGCGGAACCGATTCGGTTCGAACCGAGTCATGTTTCGGTCCGAACCGAGTCCAGTTTCGGTCTGAACCGTAACCTCCTGTTTGAAAGCCGGCGGTTCCGAACCGGATGGGCAAGTCCGCCTGGTTTTCCTTCCCTTCTTGGCGCGGCTCCATAAACCCTAATCTTGTTCCCCAATTCTCTCTGCATCATACTTTTTAGGAAATTTCTGTCGCGGGCTGGATTACTCCCAAGGTGAAAGATGGCGGCTTTGGCCCCCGAAAAGGTTGTTTCTGCATTTGAAAGCAACACAGAAGTAGGAGCAGGAGGAGGAGGAGAAGATGATTCCCACAAATTCGAGGAGGAGGAAGAAGAAGAAATTATTTTTTGTTCTCATCAGATTCTGAAATCGGGGAGGCCTTGGATTACTTGGACTCCATAGACGATGCAGAAGGCGGAGTAGCGGACGGCGGTTCATTCACTCTGTTGAATGCGAGGCGGCCGAATGCTCATGGTGGACTCCACACCCGTCCCAACTCCTCTTCCCTTCAGCCTATATCCAATAAGTCTCAGAAGTTCGCCAATCACTTTAGGGCATCACCCTTGGAGGTACGTTCCAATGGTGTTTCTGAATTTTCTACTATATTATTTTTGTGTTCTATATCTAATTTTCATTTTCTTGTGGAGGTATCTTAAAATTTAATTGGGATTGAAAGCAATTAGTAGATACTGTTACATTATCATCTTCAATTATCTATGCTATACCCCTCCAAATTAAAGGAATGTATGTGTATTCAGCTAAAAGGAGTTACCTTGATATGAGCAGGAAGTTTCTTTTCATTAGTGGGATGGTGGATTGTCTTGCCTGTCTATCTTCATTTCCTTTTTGTGCTTTGTCATTGTTGGTTGACTAAATTGTAGATAAATAAATAAATAAATGATGCCGATCCTAACAGTTTAAGCATTCAGGTGAGTTGGTTATTTAAATTTTTTTAATTATTTTTGTATTTTAAAAATATGTAAAAATTTCAAATAGATGTTACTTTTCATAAAAATTATAATTATCCCTATAAAATTATATATATTTTTAATTAAAAACACTAAAAAAAAATTTATGGGCGAAGAAGTTGAGGTACCAGAGTCTTAGGTCTCGAATTCGCGATTCACCGTCCCCCATTTGTTGTCATCCACGGGCAAGTTTAGTTTGGTGGTGTTATTCCCTTTGTTTGTGAGGGGTGTGTTGGTTGATTCGCGTTTGTAGATAAATAAATAAATGATGTGTATCCTAACAGCGTTTTGGTTGACCCTCGTTTGTAGATAAATAAATAAATCATGCGTACGGTTAACTTTTTAGGTGAGTCGGTCATTTACTTCATCTAACAGTTATAACATGCCAATCGGTTTGTGCAGGAGTGGGAGGGTAGGTTCAATGCTGGGATGCCGAACTCAGTTGCAACTGCTATTCGAGACAGCGTTCGTGAAATGGCTATTGGCAAACCTAAAACAACTGAAAAAGCGGATCGTGCAACTGTTGAGCAGGCAAACAGTATATGATGGAAATTATAGGTTTTGTTTTCTGTTTCGATTATTTTCCTTAACACATTCATTATTACTGTGCTCAAAGTACACTTTTTATCACTTAATGATTCCATGTTCATGCTACTATCCACACATCCCTGCCCCTAGATCACACATTTATACTTGCAAGATTATGACTGGATTAAGACCTGACTGCTGTGGTTTATCTACATCTTTCCAGGCAATTGATCCTAGAACTCGAATGGTTTTATTCAAAATGCTGAACCGGGGTGTATTTAATGACATCAATGGCTGCATTTCAACTGGAAAAGAAGTATGCCTTTAGCTTTTGTTTGCATCAGTTTGATTTAATTATATCTTGTTAACTTCGAACTTATCAAAAATTATGTTATTTGTTATCTGTTGTTTTGGGTATTTCATCTTCTTGAGCTCTTACCATATTCATTATCTTTGAAAGGCTGTTGCCGAACTTCTTTAATACAGAGCCTTTTTTATGTCCTGTTTTTCGGGTTTACTAACATGCCAATGTTTACCATGCTACTAAATCTGATGGTCAAGAACTGGCAATCAAGGTTTACAAAATTTCAGTTCTTGTATTCAAGTATGACCACAACCTTATACATTGTTATGTGACTTTGAATTGCAGAATTGTTGCTTGATAAAAGCTAAAATCTTTTGTAGTTAGTGATTTTCACTCATATGGCTGCATCTTCCACCATTGATAATTGGCGTGCTCATGTGCTCTCACTTTTAATCGAGGACATTTGCATCTGCTGATTTTTTGGTACTTTAATCATGGTGCGTGCTTCAATAGTGGGATGACCACTTATATCTATTCCAATCTGACAGGGATAGAGATCGCTATGTACAAGATGATTACCGGTTCAGATATGGGTATTGCAAGCACAACCCCCGGAAAATGGTGAAGACCTGGGCAGAGAAAGAAATGAGGAACCTTATGAGGTGAAATGCCTTCTATTTCTAGTGATTCTTGTATGTGATAATAGTGATATAGATAAAATATTCAGTCTCTGTTCTGCACTTCAAATGGAAACGGTTCTATGGGACTATACTATATCAATAATAAATTGTTCTATTTTTTTTTTTGTAAGACCGATATCTTAAAATTAGAGAAGTTATATTCAAACCAATTTTTTTTTTTACTAAAGTCGGGGAAATAAAGATACAGGCTTATAGAATATGGTAAGTCACCATATAGAGTTCTTCATATCTCCCTGGAATTTATCATCTTTGTCAATCAATGTGTTTTTTTTCTGGAATTAGGCTAGATATGAATTACAACACCTGACACTCTATTTTATATATTTTATTTTGCCACACATGAAGACTAAGAGTGGCAGGAATCAGATGTCCAGTGCCACTACTGTTGAGGCTGCACGTTCTGGTCATGGAATTTATAGGTACATATGTTCGCCTGTTTGCTACAATTATGTTCAGTTGATAATTATTATTTCATGTTGGGCTAGGTTTGTTTTGTGTTCTGAAGTTAGTCAAGGACATGTAGAGATCCAAGAGATAATAATGACTAACCACTTAAAAGTTACTTCTAAAGTGAATCAAGTTAAATGGTTGTGGATTTGGTTATATGAAAGTTTCCTGCATCTGGAATAAAGTTCTTATTTAATTTTTTCTGCAGGCAAGTCAGGTTGGATGAATAGTGTATTTGGGGGAAAATCCTCCAAACAAACACCCTAGTGTGAAGGGAAGCCGACTTATGTTTATTATCTTCCTGTTCACTCAGGATTTCTCTATGTGTGTTTGTTTGGGGGTTTGGATTTTGAGTTGGGATTTGAATAGTAAAAATTTTGAATTTGAATAGTTGTATAATGTGATATAAATAGGTGTCGATGTGATATTTTGAATGTAAAATTATTTTTTAGTATAATATAAAAAATAAAAAATAGGTGTTTGATTTGATATTTTTTGAAAGAAAAAATGGGATGAATAGTATATTTAAAATCCAATCCCCCAAACAAACACACCCTTAGAAAACATGGAGTAGCTGTTATGACAATTCGGGAATTGTTTGAGTTTATAGTAAGCCCTGATATTGATGACGATTCAGTTGATAGTTATCTAGAAAAGGTATGAGAGGTTCGTTTATGCGTTAGCATTATTTCATGATAATATCTATCCAATGCGAGCTCAAACTTGCATTGCATCTGTATTCGACACTTTTGCACAGATTCAACTAAAGATTTTGGCAAGAGGTGATGTAATCTCTAATGAGGAGGAAATCGAAGACACTGTGTTTGTGCAGGTATGGCTTTTCTTCCCTCCAACTATAATTTGTATTGTAATAATTAACTTCCTGACGATCAGATGTTAAATTTTGTGCTTTTTTCACTTAGTCATTCATTCCGAAGACCTTGGATGATGTGAGGAATGCCGAGGAGGATGTGCAACGTATCAACAATGGAGATGACACTCGGGACATGTACTATCAAACTGTAACAGGCCTTAAGAAGGCTCTTTCTTTGAGCAATCCCTCCGAGCAGCAGCGGGAATGCAACGAGGAAGAATCTGAAACTGCTAGTAATGCAAGTGATCAAGATGATACCAGTGACTCCGATTGCGATGAAAATGATAAGCGGACACCCGCGGACAGGAAAGCAGCCAGGAAAGAGAAGAAGAAGAAAGTTAAAGAAGAAAAAAGGTAGGGTCCGAAGAATAAAGTTCCAAAAGCTGTGAAGAAGAAGAAGAAGAAGAAGAAGCAGGCTAAAGCGAAGAAGTGCCTGTGAGAAATGCAGCAAACAGCCTTAAACCTAGAGCCGTTAACGATCTGAGCCGAGTCAAATTTTAAGTGTTCGTTAACGTTCGCAAACAATGCTCGTGTTCGTTCGTTAAGCTTTCGAGCTCGTTCGTAGTGTTCGAACTCGGCTCGTTAAGAATTTTTGTTATTTGAGCTCGTGCTCGGCTCGTTTAGGCTCGATTAAGCTCGTTCGAGCTCGTTTGTCTTATTTTTTAAAAATTTATATATAAATTATAACGAAAATTTATAATTATTTTATTTATATATTTTAAGTTAATACTTTATTTATTTATAAATTATAATTTGATATGTATATATAATATTTATAATAAATATATTATTTATAATATAATATTATTTATATTATTTTAAGTTAATACTTTATTTATTTTAAGGGTAGTTATATAGTGATATTGTTATTTATGAAAATAAATTTTGAGACATAAACAAAGTTATTATATTGGGACGGAGGGAGTATATTATATTAAATTATAATTATTAAAATAATTAAAATATCATTTTATTAGAGAAAATTATTTTTGGTTTTGTTCAATATCATAAATTATCTATTTTGTCTCATTGGAATTCTTTTATTAATTTTGATTTCACTTAAATAAAAATTTATCAATTTTAGAAAATTTCATGATGGTTGAATGAAACTAAATATGGCCATGTTGGTTGATTCGGAAGGGTGATTGGGCCTCCCAGACAGTCAACACAATGGTGTTGATTACCTGCACTGGATATGCCGGTGTTCATGCCAACCGTGTTCCTACCTTTGTTCTGAACTCATATTCGTAACATTGTTCTTAACACAACCATGTTGTAAATAATGTTCACGATCATGCTTTCAACAAGATTATGTTTTAGACCATGTTTTGAAATATATATAATTACGATTATGGAAAAATATATATATTAATATATTGTTATTTTTATAATCTTTTTGTAAGCATTTTTTAAAATATTAAAAATTTATTGTTTTATATTATGAAATACTTTTGTAAAATATTTTTGTTGGAATTATAAATATATATTAAATAAATAATTACAATATGACTATACTGAAAACAAGTCGTGAACATAGAGCACGGAAATATTCAGTGTGGGGTAATAACATGGCCGTGTTGGCTATCTGGGATGCAACACGGTAGAAGGCTGGCTTATTGAGTCCCAAACCCAATCAACTATCGTAGACTAAAATTAATAAATTTTTATTTGAGTGAGACATAAATTTATTTTTTAATAAGACCAAAATTAATAATTATAATATCTGAACGAAACGAAAAAAATGATTTTTACTCATTTTATTACTTATACTATAATTCTACAACATGGTCTAATAAGTGAGTGAAAATTTGTGAGCTCCTTTAAACTTACATGATATGATGCGACAAATGTTAAATTTGATTAAACCTTCAGTTCTTCTTGAAAAAGATAAAAATAAAAAAAAAGACCCAATCCCTACTACACATTGCCGCCGTCTTCCTCCTCCACCTCCTTGTTCTTTGTTCCGTCTTCTCTCTGCTTTAACAATTTTATTTATTTCTTCCTTCTTAGTCTGCCCTAGCCGCTGGTGGTCGCCTCCGCCGTCGTATCATCTTCTTCGGCCGGTCTCTTCACTGTCACATTCTACAGTCAATTTCTTCTCCGGCTGTCAATTTCTAGAATTTTCAACTTCTTTGGGGTATGTTTGATTCAATTTAATATAGTCTCTGTGTTAAATTACATGAGTAAGTTCCAACAGAACTAGCTATATGAGTGTATGACAATATTCTTATTGTTAAATTAACAATCGAGGCATCCTTTCCATTCCAGGCCTCCCGTTTCTCTGTAGAGCTCGATCCGAACTTCCATGGAAGAAAATCCAGAGGCTGCTGCTCCTTCAAGCGGCGAGAAGACAGTCAATTTATGCGCGGAGTGCAAAATTAACGCCTCAAAGTACAAGTGCCCTGGCTGTTCTATCCGCTCGTGCAGCCTCCCTTGCGTCAATTCCCACAAGCACCGCACTGGTTGTACCGGGAAAAAGTCCCTAGCCATGGTCGTTCCGACTTCACAATTTGATGATGATCTCCTCCTTTCAGGTAATAATCAATTCTTAGGCGAATTCGGATTCAGTTATTCGTATGAGAGTTTGCCCTAATTTGTTAATGGACGTAATTTTGAATTTGAATAATTGACTAATGAAATATAAACAGGTGTTTGATGTTTGGGGGAATTAAATTAACAGCCAAAAATCTTGAAAAAAAATCCACAAAAAAGCTTATGAACTTTGAGAAAATTAAATTTAATAGTGAAAAAACACAACCTTAGGTTATGGACTTTGTTTCTGTTTGTGATTTCTATGAATTTGGGCGATTATGTGCTTGCTTGTGTAAATGAATGGTATTTGATTTTGTTAATACTATTTCATGAGTTCACTGTGAAAAGATTATAGGAGTGAATTGCAAAGTTGCAGGATGTATGGATCCAATGAATGTCTGGAATCTAATTTTTTGAGTATGAACTTAAGCCAAAGATACCTTTGTGTTTACTTGTGCCATTTGATTTTCACGCTAAAATTAAATTTTACATTCAAAACGTCACATCAATATATATTTATATTACATCAAACAACTATTTCAATTCAAAATTTTACTATTCAAAACCAAAACCCAAAACTAAAATCTTACAAGTAAACACACCTTTAAGTGATTTTACTTTTGCTTTGTCATCGTGATGCCTAAATTATTTAGATTGATGCAATCCGGGAAAAGGTGTTAAGTCGGTGATTTTTGTGGATCACAAAAGCCAAACAAAGTGTGAGATTTTGGCATAAAAACAGCATAGTTGTCAATAGAGCTCTAATAGTGGTGTAGCATAGGGAGCGGCAATTTGCCAGGTTTTAGCATTGCGGAGTAGAGCAGAGCATCTTTCGAATTGAATAATATATATAGTATTTTTTATTATAAGTTTAGATAATTAAATTTTACGATATAATATTATATTCGTTATTTTGTAAATGTAGATTTTGTCAATGTGACGAACATACAATGGAAAAGTAAATGAAAATGACAAAAAAAAGGAAGAAGAAGAATATTAATAATATTCTTACAAGAGTAGTAATGAGGATGATGATCAGCTTTGATTATCTATCTATCAAAGTAGTTGTGATCTAATTGCTTTTAATTATATAACTATTTATAAACTAGTTATTATATATTTTTTTCAATTTTATTGATTTGAATAATAATCATAAGATTAGTCTGTATACTTTTCTGATGTATTTTTGTTGTAAATTTGTATATATAATAATTTTAATATGTATTCTTAAATTTTAAAATAGCGATCATCTCGATATTGGCTATCATGCAGTAGCATTTTAGAGATTGACCGCTCTATAATGCTATCCAAGATTGACAACTATAATAAATCAGTGAAGTAGTTTGGTAATTAACTTTATTTTATGAGATTGTCACTTATTTGTGGGATATTTCGACATGGTTGCTCTGAAAAAATAGTTCGATTATTCTCTGATGATCATATTGTGTTGTATATAGAGTTCTATTTAGCTATCTTTTTTGAGTTGTTAACTCTGCACTTTATTGTAAAAGTTACTGACTTTTCGACGGTGCAGTATATTATTAAATTTCTCTTTGCTCTGCTCTACACATTCATGAAAAGTAAGTTTTTCAGTATTTTGTGTAGTGAAGTTTGGTAGCACGCTTAACTCTTTAAGAACAGTTAATCTTTTTTACGACGACTAATTTGCTTAAATTTGACAGATTTCAACTTGCTTGAAGATGTTAAGCGATTTACTGATTCTGCTCAGAGGATGAGAGTTAAATTATGTGGTTATCGTCGTTTCAAGCTTCCGTATTCCCTCAAAAGTCTTCAAAATGCTGCTGCCAGGCGCAGGACGAAACTGTTGATTCTTTCAAACGGAATGGCGAAGAGACAAACTAACCGTACTCGTTACAACAACAGGTAGTTTCAAAATCCATGGGATCGATTCTATGGTTTACGCTTACCATTTTAAATGTTCCTTGACAAGAACAAGTGGAATTTTTCCTATTGTTTTTGGTGAAAATTAAAGCTCACTTATTTGATCTCTGTTCCAGGGAGAAATCGATATCTTGGACTATTGAATGGCGATTTCATTCCACTGATGTCGTATTACTCGATCACGGGTGAGGACTTTGGCAAGTGAATTGATTCATAGAATTTTTTATATGTGAATTCTGTGGGCTAGTTTATAGTGTCGTAATTTTGATGCAAAAAAGGTTGTTGTTTCACTACAGAGTACACGAGAATTCAAATTTGTCGTCCGTGATTGAGAAACATCTAAAACCTAGTCCATGGAATCACCCGTTGAGGCAATTCTGCGATCCGCCCCTTGATTCCTTGAAATTCTTCATTCCCAAATATCCGAAGGTGTTCTATATTTTGTTTTGGCTTCTCTGTTGTAGATTTTTTCGAGGGATCTGTTGGGTAATATCATTCTCATAACATGCAGGGACCGAAATCGCCATTTTGCCAGCTAAACATTAGGGGACCGATTTGTCAACAGTTGGCGAACATAACGGTGTTGGAGTACCCTGTAATTCATGTCTTTTTACCTTCACACAAATGTGATTTCGACATAATCAACGATTCGAGTACAAGTAAGGCAGAGACTCAAGAACCTGTTCATCGCGATCATGAAAGTCCTAAAGGTGTTGTGTTTAAGGAGGAAGAAATTGAAGATGACGAATCTTCGGATCCTTGCATTTCAGATCTCAACAACTTTGAGAAGAATGAATCTAAGAATGCATCGAAAGAGGGGATTTCAGCTGATCAAAAGGATCCGGATCGAGATGAATTTTGGGCGATGGATGAAGAACTCGAGGAAGGGGAGATTGTGTAAGTAGTTTGTTTGTTTACATTCTCTCGGCAAGCTCAGCTCGATGTTGGTTGAAGATCAAATGGCGAATGTGCGATCTACTGCGACAACATAAACAAAATGTGGCATCGGACGGGAGATATCCGAGGCGGGCTTGAGAATTTCTCCGGTTTCGATTCCGATGGTTTCCCAACTTTGGAAGGTACGTCCATCTCCTGATTTCACCTCTCTTTACTACTGAATTATGATTCGATATTATCTATACATGTGTATATATTATGTTGTGTAGTTTATACAGTGTATTGTACTGTGTAAATATAGTTATTTTGTTAAAATTAATAATTTATTGTGCTATATGAAATTATATCCTTAGTTCGTTGTGTGCCAGAATATGGGCTGTTGTGCGTTTGTTTGAGGGATTTGTTTGGATTTTTACTATTCATTCAATTTTTTTCCCCCAAAAATATCAAATCAAATACCTACTTTTTATTTTTTATATTATATTAAAAATCAATTTTACATTCAAAATATCACATCAAAACCTATTTATATCACATCATACAACTATTCAAATTCAAAATTTTTACTATTCAAATCCCAACTCAAAATCCAAACCCTCAAACAAACACACCCTTATTATATATGTCGGATCAAAGCACTATCGGCACCGTTATGGTTATTTGCAAATATGTGTAGGTATTTATGTTTATTTTATTATTTCTTTATTTGCAAATATGTGTAGGTATTTATGTTTATTTTATTATTTCTAAACAATCAATCTTATACTCTATCCGTCCAAGTATATATGTTTCTATTTTGGACTCATTACTTTTACTCGCAAGAACAAAAATATCGTTACACTATTTTTAATTGTTCATTATAATTAAAACACTGCGTCAAAAATAATTATATATTTTATGTGTGGAAGGAGAGAGTATTTAGAGTTATATATATTTATATTGTATTTTCTTGTTTCTTTTAAATCGATTTTTTATTATTTTTTAAAATATTGATAGATAAAAATATTTGATAGAAAATTATATATATCCATCGTTAATGAATATATCTATATAATTTTAATGAATTTTACTATATTACTAGTATATATTTTTTATTTTTTGTTATATAAATAATTTATTTCTTAAATTTTATTTTTCTAAAACAAACAAAATAAAAATATTTCTACTTCTCTGTTCTCAATTTTTTATACCAAACAGAAAAATAAAAATATTCCAATTTCTCTTGTTTGTTCAAGCCATATAACCAAAATTAAAAAGTAAATAATTTCTCATTTTATTTTTTTTACTATTTATCTTTTATAACTTTTTTAAAAATATATTCATTCCGATTTCATAAAATTCATATCAATATTATTATTATTATTAAAATATTACCAATGACAATATTTATTCACAAATTTTTACTTTATTGAAATCTTTTCTTGTTCATGATTTTCCATGGTTAATTCATTTTTATTTTTTTTGCACTCAGTAATATGCCATCTCATTTAAATCGATTCATCCAATTTGTTGTAATTTTTTTATATTTCTCAACATAAATCCTCCATTTTACCAAACAGATCAATTATTTCTTATTCTCTATTATCATTTCTCAATTTCATTTTTTTGTACCAAATGCAGCCTAATGTAATGCCCTGTATTTTTTTTTTCAAACTATTGGAACATTATTAGTAGACTTTGCATTTCCCCAAAAAAACATTTTTTTCATCTCGCAACACATCTCATCAAATATTATTTTAATACTAAACTCAAACTTAAACCAAAACTTTTCTTTCGGAAAAAAAAAAAAAAAACTCTCAAACTTTACTATTTGAACTTTACGATTTTTTGAATATACATATATATTTTTTCCTCTCATCAAATATCAATAAAATCTTTCCAAACATTTACCAAAGAAACGCACATAGCAATCATAGTATTTTTTACTAACTTGATCTGTTGTAAAATAAAAAAAACCGACGGTTTCGAAAATGTACCTTGAGATGAGATATATATATTTGGATCTTCCATGGCCTGCCTTAGAGAGTGTGCCTTTGAACTCAATCTTGTATTACTTTTTCAACTTCCTCAAGAACTCATTCCCTCCTGAAATTATTACAAATTATATACAGAAATAATGATGAATTAGACATGACATCCTTAAGTTTACAAAATAAGTGTTCAAATATAAGTATATTAAAATTTTGATACTATTCGATAATTTTCTCAAAAAACTATTACATCAAATATTTATATCATCCAACAAAATATCATATCAAACGGCTAACTTTTACTATTTTTAAAAATTTTTCAAAATTTCAAAAACTTCTATCAAGACTATCTTTAACATATCCATTTATGACACCTGAAGCAATAGATACCATCAAAATTCCCGGCATGAATTCACTCCCAAATTTATTAATTTCATTTGGCAATGCGTATGATTTCAAATTTCCAATGTTGGTTGTGGATTCCAAATCCACTTTTAATATTCTAAACACTCTTTATATCATGTAATTTCAAAAATTACTTTCTACTACCAAATAATGGATTATGATCACTAAGCCTTTCAAACATGTTTCAAATCTATTCATTTAAAATCTCTTTTGAATACAAATCCATCCAACCAAATGGAACCAAACCGAATTCGGTGTTTTTATAATATAATTCAATAGCAGTTAAAGTCAGAGAATTGCTTCTAACAATGTATGCCATAATGAAGCCAACAATTTCCGGCTTCTTTACACAGCCAGCACCATCAGATAAAATAAACACAAGGACCCGTAAAAACTCACTTGGAAAAACCCGCAAGGATATGCAATCAAACACTAGAAATACACCTAAGCAGTGTTTAGCATCTATGGCAAGAACTAACCCTCTAAGACTTGATGATTAATGCATTTTCTACCGTAATTAGAACTTGTTAATATAATAATAGCATAAGCGTAAAAATTGTCAGTCGAAAACATACCAAACTCTGAACTTCAACCAAAATTTGGAAGAGATATGTAGCAGCAGTGCTAAGCTGTTCTCAATGGAGGCGAGACCAATATGACACCATCACCTCTGACAAAGAGAAACGGGACTGTACGCCTCGTGGTCTGCAAAACCAACAAATAAATGGAATCGGTAAGCTTGCAAATTAATAATGTCGATAAGTTCAAGCCAAAGTGAAGATTTGTTATATAAGGGCAAAAGCTAATACTACTAAAAAATCACAAAAAAAAAAAGTGTACCCTGACAATTTCCTCGTATGTTTCATCATCAATATCTGTAGTCGTAACAATCTCTTCAACATCACCCAGTATCATATTCAAATGCTGATCATAAGCCTGTAGAGAGTTCACATGATTTGTGAATACGACAACAGAATTTGTATTAAACGAGCGAGTGAATGGGATAGAGAGGAATACCAACAACTTATCCATATATTGTGTGCACTGCTATGGGAAAAACATAAATGAAGTACATACACGAGCTTTAAGGGGGTTCTCTTTCTAAAAATTGCTCTCTAAAAAACAGAAAAAAAAAATCACATAGCTCACCAAGATTGTCGCAATCCATATAGACATTGTAATACCACCATTGGTGTTTTAGAACTCTTCCCACGGTCTTAAGGGGTGTTTGATACGAGTAAATGGAGGTAAAGAAATAAAAATAGATACAATTTGGACCTGGTAATAGAAGATTGAGAAATATATATTATTTCTTCTTCTTTACTTTCAATTATCTTCTATGTGTAAAAATTTAGAGAATTGAATTTTTAAAGTGAAAAAAAAAAAAAGACTTACCACTCTATTGTCTTTTCATTTCACACACAAAACTGTTAAGAAGAGATCTGGAGCTTCATTTCAAAACTAATTAGTATTAAATGGAGTTGTCCTTCAATCTTATAGACTAAGAAAGTTCCCCTCAATTTTTCCAATGTGGTATATACTCAAAAACCTTCTTTGATTGTTTCTTCCCCAAAATGTTCTCCTCTGTTGCCATTGCCATCATCACACCATCCGCCACAATGCAAACTAATACTAGAGTTTTACAACGGACTTTTTTTAAATAAACATATTTTTTATTAATTTATGATCTTTATATATATATATTGTTTAAATAAATGGTAAATGATTATCCATTACTGTTGAATGTTCTATTCTATCACACAAAAGAGATAGTTTTCATTCTCTGCTTCAATTTCATTCTTTACATTAAAGTGGTCGCAAAATTGAGCTTGTTTGAAGAGGAAATAAAAATGACAAGAAGGTGTAGCAGTCGTCGTCTCTTCGGCTATTATCCATTGACTGACCGAAGTACCTAAACATACTAGCTACAGTTTCAAGCAAACAATCACGTCCCTCAAAATTGTCCCAATCATACATACACTGCAAAATCCACTTGGCTAGTTTAGAAATCTTCCCTCAGTCTTGGAAGTGGTCGAATATAGAAGAAGATCGAGCTTATTTGTATGTAGGGCAAAATACAGATAGTAATTCGACAATAATCAGCTGTAAACAACCAATAAATTGACTCCAAATGTCCACAGCCGACCGCAGCTATTATCACAACCAAAATATACCCAAATCTAAAGGAAATGAACAGAAAACCTAGAAAATCGTTCAAACAAACAGGACAAACATTATCGAGTATCGACATACATAGCCCTAATTCGTAAAATTAACGAAAAAACCAACGAATTCGTAGTTTCTTCCAGCCACAATAATCAATCAGTTCGCTCGCCCAAACCACAAGTCACACAAATGCATACAAACATCATTCATTCTAGGTTCTAACAGACAGCATAAAAGAATAGAATAGAAGAGATTAGAAGTTTCGTACATGGAGCTTGCCACGAAGCTCGCGGTCGTGACGAAGCTTAACGTAGATGCGCTCGTCGAGGCTGAGACGAATAAGGTCCAAGGGCTCCTTCACCGCGCTCTCCTCCTCGCTCCCCATCGCTGTCTCAATTGGGCGTAGAATTGAACTGTTGTTGCAAGTTTGATCTCATTTTGAAATGGATCTTCATAGCTTGTATTGGTTTGGGCTTGGGCCTAACAATATTTAAATATATTGTTTCTTAATATAGTTCGTTTATTTATTATATTATAATAGTATCTAAATTATTTTGATAAATTATATTCTTTTTATACCTTAACAATTTATCTATTTTTTTATTATTTTTGTCTGTCTGTCTCGTAATAATATATTCAATTTACAAATACTGTCTACCTAACGTTACAAATACATCGCTTCCAATTTACAGTATATTACAACTAATTAGTATAACGTTTACTTTGCGTAATTAAATATTAGTAAAATTATATTACGTTTATTTTGTTTGATTATATGATATAATTATTTTTTTCTATCCAAAATACTTTTAATAATATTATTATAAATTATTGTAATGTAATTTATTTTATTTTTTTTTCTTTCTAATTATGCAATATAATACTCCCTCCGTCCACACACAAAGTAAACATTTATTTTTGACGCTAGTTAAAAGTATAACAATATTAAAATTTAATTAAGTTATTGTCATGGCATAATAATATGTATGTATATAATATATTGTTATTATTGATTAAATATAGTATTTAATTTTGTATTCAGAATTATAAAATTAGATTTTAGTAACATATTTTATAACACGCTATAAATTGATACTCCCTTAGTCTCATAACAAAGTATTTATTTTTTTTTTTATTTTAGTCCGTCTTATAACAAAGTATCTATTTTTTTTAGTAATTGTACTATCTACTTAACATTACAAATACTTTTACAACTTACAATATATTACATAAATGTCATTACCTTTATATCATACAATATTAATAAAGTTTTTTTAACCATTTCAACTTTATTCTTACTGCATCCTAATATAATACTAATATTTCTAAAATTCAATGCAAAAAATAAATGGATACGTAGTTATGGACGAAGGAAGTATAACTGTAACAAACTTTTGATTTTACAGTACTGTAACATCATATCTCCAACGCACGACTGTTATTGCAATTTCATACCCTGCAATTTTGGCTCTTCACATTGCATTTATAGATTTTATCTTATTTTATTAATTTCTTTAACTTATAAAATGATTTAAATTTGTTTATAAATTATACTTTTATTTTATTTATTCGATTTCTTTTGTAAACTTTTTATTTTATTTTTTATGAAATAATTTTTTATATTTATATTTAAATTTATAATAAATTATATATGTATCGATATATTTTATTGATTTTTATAGTTAATATAAAATATTTGGGTAAATTAAAAACAATATTTAGCTATAATTTATTTTATTATTTTGTTTTTTTAAATTAATATTTATAAAATATTTTTTGATTATGCAAAAAAAACAAATAGAGAATATGATTGAAGATGAGTAATTGTAAGAGTCATGCAAAAATGAGAAATATATTGTACCTTGTCCCGATGACCTTTTTTTTTTTTTTTTTTTCCTCGTACACAAAAAGATGATTCTTTCTATATTTTTAGTAAATTTATCAATATTAAAAACTCATAACAAATATAAATCAATTTAATTAAATTTTTAACCTTTTACACATAAGATCCATTCAAAATTCTTTTATTTATATATCTTTCTTCAATTAACAAATATTTGTATTTATCTTTAAAACTTCTCATTTTTTTTTTTATAAAACTAATTTATAGTAATTACAAATAAATAAATAATTTTTTTATTATATAATTTTTTTATATTTATTAAATAAAACTAACTTTGTCCGACGAAAAAAAATATTATTTTATATTTATGACACGGATTCTTATAATTTACCTAAAATAAATAAATAAATAAAATCAAAACATTAGACAAACAAACTAAATTGTCCATATAATAGAAAGGTATATGATGTGTATGTAATGCAATGTTAAATTGTCCATTTTGTTATTAAATAGTATACATAATAATAGAAATTAACAAAAATAAAAATAAAAATTATTTCCTATAATATTTTTTATAATTGCATTTCATCTATTTGAGTTTTTTCCTTATTTTTCGACTTTTTAAAAACTAATTTAAAATTTTTGTTGGTAATAGAAAAAATAATATTTTCTGTTGAATTATTGAGTTTTTGTAAATTGATAAAATATATATTGTGTATGTATATATTACTCCCTTCATCCCATATATTGTGTAATCGGTTACGGTATTAATATATACAATGCAAATAACACACATTCTTATTATATATGCACATATTGTGTATAATAAAAATATGTGTTATTTATTCATAATTACACATATGTTGTATAAAAATATGAAATGTACTAAAAACTGTTATGTGAGTTGTATAAGATTATAACATGTGTTGTTAATTGATGAGATGTATTTGTATTATATTAGCGCAGAGGGTAAGCTATATGTAACAGTACTGTACTAATACATCATAACCATTGTCATTGTGTCACGATTTCTATTTTTGTCCTGTCTTACCTGGGATTTAATTAGTAAACATAACACCATACAAATAAAAAGTACTATCTTTTAATAATATTTATAAAAAATCGTATTTCCTCTGTCCCAAACACCGTGCAACATTTATGTTTGGCACGAGAATTTAGATCGGGAGTATTAAGTATGGTAATTTGAGATAATTTCGATATTAAGTGATGTGATTGGAGAGAGAAATGATTATTTATTTTTTTTATTTGAGTGATGTGATGGGATAAAGTGAAATATATATTAATATATGTATATAAATATTATTAATTATTTCTAAATTTAGAAATGTTGCAGTGAGTTTGAGACAAATAAAAAAAAAAATATTGTAGGATGTTTACGGAGGTTATATTACCTAAATATAACACTATTGTGTTCTTATTATATATATAAAAAAGGACATGTTTTATTTAAAAAATATTACTCCATTCGTTCCACATACCATGTCCACGTTGCTATTTCTGTCCGTTCCACATACTATGTCACTTTCTTTTTTTTAAAATAATTATACACTTTAATCTCATTTTAAAATTTTAATTTTTTTTTTAAAATTTTAATTAAACTAATTAGTTATCTTAATCTTAATTCATAATTATTTATATTATAGGATAATTATTTTCACTAATACATTCTTAATTATCTACTGATTACACCCCTCCTAAAATAAAGTGTCTACAATGTAGCAGATACAATGTAACACGATATACGAGACGAAGTGAGTAATATATTTATAAATATTTATTATTTTTATATTACCTAAACAATTTTCTATTTCTCAATTTAAACAAAAAAAATCTCTTAAAACTATTTAGAAACCACACACTCCAAAAGTCAATAAATCTTTAATTGTGCTATTTATTTATTTAATAATATATTAATACCAAATCAGTAACCAATTTTTCGATTTAATATACTATTAAATAAAAAAATTTCAATTCAAACTATTTATTTATATAATATAATTAATAAACTTCAAAATTATATATATTAAATAAAAAAAGAAAAGAAAGCTTCATTCAAATATAAAATTAAAGAAGACAAGGTTCAAAACACAACTCCTACGTTCTCACTTACATCAATCATACACCACAAGGCTTTGGTACAATTCTCCGGCGATGGCCGCCTCCATCGTCGCCACCGGATTCTTCTCCTCCGCCGTCGTCTCCGACGACCGTCCGCCATTTCCGTCATCGACAATCCCGCTCGCTTCCCCGGGATCGATCGCCCCGCCTTTCTCGAGGAAAAGCGTGAGCAAGTTCTTCGAAAACCCGCTCACCAAAGCCACCCCGTTCTCCGTCGCCTTCACCGGAGTCGCCGATGAGTCCCGGAGATTCCAAAATACGATCTCCGGAACTTTCCGGAACCCCTTCTCCCGGAACTTCCTCGATATCTCCATATAATCCGTCTCCCACGGGCTAATTGAAGCCGCGTCGAATTCCATGTCGCTAAAAACGAACACCCTCTTGATCATCCGATCTTCACTCAAATTCTCTGCTACTGCTAATTCCAATATCAGGTCGAATGCTTTCTGAAAATCGGTGTTGAATCCGGCGGCCATGTTCTCTATGAAGCTCGTTTTCGCGCGGAGATTCCCCGGGGAAATCAAATGCAGCTGCGGATCGTGGCTGAATGTCATCACTCGGCCTTTCCACGGATCGTCGTTAAGCTCGGCGACCAATAATCCGAGCGCGACGGAAACCTCCATCGGAGTTCCGTACATGCTCCCCGAGACGTCGCAAACGGCGAGACAGTTGGATAATTCCCCCTTCTCGCGTAAATCGTTCACCATTCGATTCCATTGCAGCTCGGAGACGATCTGCGCCCCACTGCTGCCTTTCGAATTCTTTGCGATGATTTCGTGCGGAAGCAGAGCTCCGGCGGCGATCTTTGATTTGCCGGATTGCACGTCGGATAGATATTCACGGAATCGGCTGTTGTCGCGGCGGAGGAATGTGTCGGTGTAGTTCCGCATTGCGACGGAGGCGACGCGGTTGTAGGCGACGGATTGCCATTGATTGGCGCTCATGGAAACCTCGGGGAGCTTCAGAGCTTGATGCAATGGCGACAGGACTTCCTTCCGGAGCCTGTTTCTCACTCTAGAAATGTATTCATCTTCAATGAGGTTTTCATACTCCGGCGATGATTCACGAGGGAATATTAACTTAGCTATGTTTTGGCAGAGGAGCAGAGCTCTATCGTAAGAGGAATCTATGGAAGGGCACCATTTTGCAGCTAGGCTAATAGGTTTGAACTGATCGGTTGGAGAAGAGGAATTCAACGATTGAAGATCGGATTTCAGTAATTCGGCGAAGAGATTTGATACCTGATCGTGGAGGAATCGGTAATCGGAATCGCGATTGTATCTTTCGGAAGCTCTTTCCGCCATAGCTAGGATTTTGGAGGTCCGCAGTTGTCTTGCCTTCTCCATTTCCGCCTTCACTTTGATCGAATTCGCTTCGATTCGTTTCTCCCGAGGCACTCTCGCTCTTAATAACCGCTTCTCCTCTACCGATTTCGGATCGTCTTTGCTGCGGCTGTTCTTCTTCGCGAGGAAGTAGAACTTTCTAGATTTTCCTTTCCCCTTTCTACAGCTTCTCCAGGCGTCTTTTCTCTTGATTCTCACTTCGATTCCTTCGATGAGTCGGAAGAGTATCTCGGGCAGATCCTTGAGGTATCCGAACTGAGCGATCGATCGGAGATTGCAGGCGAGCGTTTTCGGATGATTCTCGTGCAGCCAGAGCGCCGCCGTGTAGAAATTCTCCTTATCCGATTTTCCGGTGCCTCGGACGCCTCGGAGGTTGCAGATCAGCTTTAGAGTGGTGGCGGAGTCGTGTTCCCAGGCGAGCTTCAGCCGGTCGACGACGGAGTCTCGGGGAGTGTCCGGTACGACGTGGAAGAAGAAGTCGAGGCAGGGATTACCGGACGATTTGTAAGTGGCGGACATGTTTTCGGTATAGGTCATTAGTGGATCTGGTGGATTGTAGATGTTCTCGAGGTCGGTCGCGAGGTCGTCCATGGCGGATTCCGTCGGTGGAGCAGTAGCGCCGTCGGTTTCAGGTGAGGTGTAGTACGATTGTACTGACTCCGGCGAGTTTGGGTCCATTTTATATTAGGCGATATTTCTTGGGCGCAAAGGAAATAACTTGCACGATGTGGCACGCTTTATTTATCTAATTACTTTCTAAACACATCTATTTATTATTCAACCTAATAGTCTCGCAATAGATAATAAGTTCGCATATATTACTAGTTTGTTTGGCTTGATTTTGAAATTGAGAGGGTTTTTTTTTTTTTTTTTTTTATTTTATTGATTAATGTAAGTGCATAAAAAATTTTAATATATATTTTTTTATTTTAAGTATAAAATAATTATATGTGTAAATAATATATTTATAATTTAAGTAAAAATTCAATGTAAATGTATTTTAGTATTTATATGATTATTTTATTAAAATTAAAAAAAGATATTTTAGAATAGAAAGAACAAAATAGTAAAAAATGCACTTTGAATTGAAACAGACAAAATACTATTTACATAAAATTCACCTCAATATTTTATTTCAAACCAAACTACAACTAAACAAAATCATAATTTTTAAACACACAAATATATATATATATATATACATACACAACGTAAATTGGACAGATTGTGCAACCATACTGTCCAGGCATATTGCAAAAATTGGTCGATCTTTAAATTGGACATATTGTTGAATATTGTCTCACATTGTTAAATATGTGGGAACTCTTCTATTATATTAGGGTGAAGGCCCACTCCACCTATCGCCAATTGGTTTTAGATTGGATGTCCGGATCCCTTCTTAACACATATGACACTCGTTAGATTGTAAAAACATCAACTGGTTTGCGTTCAAGATTAAAATCAAAGTAAAACTCAAGGTATTGAATGGATTGAGAATAAAATCAAGCAAGCATCAGCTTCTTTCTGGATTGATCAACAGGCACCAGAAACAATTTGTATAGGCAATTGACCATCGATTCCTCGATTCAACTAAGACTCGACTCAATCCCCGAACAGTTTCGGAAATCCACCAACGAACAGTGACTCGTGTCTACAACGAAAACAAGCAGCAGCACACAGCAGAAACTTCAATATCCAGCAGCGAAACAGTTCCGATTCGACAGCAATTTTCCGGCGACTCTCAAATGATTCGCAAAACTCCAAACCAACGAAGTCCTATCTATCGGAACCCTAAATCGACTAATCGATGCACCGATTTTAACCTCTCAAACACTAAGAACACGCAAAAGAGCGAACTCATCGGAAAGTAAAAAACAGAAATGGATGAATCTAATAAAAAACTTCAAAGTAAAGGAGAGAACGCACACCATTAGAACTAAATAGGAGAGGAGAGAAAGAAAGAAATTTTAACTCGGTGAGAGTCAAACGGGTCAATGGGTCGGATTACAAGGCTTTGGGATGAAGATTGAGTTTTGGGACAAGTTTATTTGATCCATTATATCGCAATATTTCGTCTTACATGCCATTATATCGCAATATTATTTAAACCTTTTAATGTAATGGCCTGTAAAAGAAAATATATGTATATCTTTATTTAATCTTTGGACCATGTCACACATTGTATTTATCTAATTAATTACTGTACACATTTATTTATTATTCACTCTATCCGTTGACTATAGCTAATAAATCCACGAACACAAGGGTTGTTGGGTTTTCATTTGAAATTAAGGGTTGTTTTGAGTTTATTAAATTTGAATTTGTTTATTTTGTATTTTTGAATAAATGTATTTTTTATACTGGGTATGGAGAATTGTTTTCGTAATATAAAAAATATTTCGTTCGTCCCGATTTAAAGTATTATTTTTACTATTTTTTGTCTGTCTCATTAAAAAGTATTTATTTTTTATTTTAGAGAAAGATAATCATAGACTAATACCAAAATATTTTTTAATTTTTTTACTAAAATTACAAATACTCCATCCGTCTCATAACAAAGTATTTATTTTTTTATTTTAATCCGTCTCGTAACAAAGTATTCATTTTCTTTTTTAGTAACTATACTATCTAACTAACATTACAAATACCCTTACAACTTACAATATATTACACAAATGTCATTATCTTTATATCACATAATACTAATAAGGTTATTTTAGTCATTTCTACTTTATTCTTACTACATCCCAATATAATACTAATATTTCTAAAACTCCGTGCAAAAAGAAAACGGATACGCAGCTATGAGACGAAGGGACTATATCATTACAAATACAATTACTTTAGTATTTAAAATCAAAATACATAAATATCAAAATTTCTTATACCCTTCTACTTAAAAAAAAAAAAACTATTATTTTTTAATTTACTACAAATTCCAAAGAACTCCTATTCAATTTGGACGGAAGGAGTAATATATTGTATTGATTTTTTTTTTTTTGAATGAATAAAGTATATATATTGTATTAATATATTTAAATTGTATTTTTTAAAGCTTCCATAGATTCGATTGTGATTTACAATTATAGCTTCCCTACCTGTTTTAATAATATTAAAAAAAAAAATCATTCACATAAAAATGTTTAAGGGAATAAACTCTTATTACATTATGTTTTTCAATAAATAATAATCATACCAAAATACTATTAAAATTAAATCTTATTGTGAATTTTTTATTTGAATTTTAGTTTCAATAATATTTTGTGAAAAAATAATTTTTATGATAAGATAAATTGAAATAAAAAACACAAACAAATTGGGGGTGTTCCTTTGAATTTTCTCCAACGATTTTTCAAAAAGAAATTAATATATTATATTCCATTCGTTCCAAAATTATAATCTGGTTTGTGTTTGGCACGAGATTTAAGAAATATTGATATTATATTGGTAGTGGGTAAAAAGTACGGGTAAAAACTTTTTTACCCTTGTGAGTGTATTAGTGTAAAAAATAATGACAATTGTGTGATAATAATAAAAAAATAATGGTAATTTTATAGTGATATAGTTATTTATGGAAATAAGACTATTGTTTTGGAAAAGACAAAAATGATAAATATGACTATTGTATTGAGACGGAGGGAGTATATATTAATTATTTTATTATTATCCACGCAATACTCTATATTTCACAATAAAAAAAAAAATCCCTTTAAACTATTTCGTAAAACAAACATACATAATTTGTTTGGTTTTGATTATAACGAAAATCAATATTTCAATACAATCTATATTATGTTCAATAAAAAAAATATATATACATAAAATATCAAATTAAAATACTATTTAAATAAAAATTAAAACAAATCCATTGTTTCTAGTTTTGAAAAATATATAAATAGTAAAAAACTAGATATTTAATATAATATATTTCAGAAGAAAAAAATATTAGTGATTGCCAGTGTCAAAAGTTTGAACAATATTTTGTTTATTTTATGAAATTTATCTAGATAAACATGTATTACTAAGTTTTTCTTATAATTAAATGGTATTCTTTTGTTTGTTTTATGAATAGTTTTTTTCAACCTAAATTAAATTTAAATAATATTTAATTTGATATTTTAAGAGGATTTTATTTTTTTTTAAATATGGAATCTAACTAATAAAAAAACACCATAATTACACATTATTTAGCAAATATAAAATATAATTATGGCAATTAGATTGGAAGATAAATATATTTATATGGAAATTAATTTTTTTTTTTATAATTTATCATTAATAATATTTTAAATATTACATTAAAATATTTATTTTTACTGTTTCTAAAATTTGTAAATTTATATCTAAATAAAACCAAAATTTGACCGGATTAATTGGTCTAATCTGAACTTGAACTAATTAGGGTAGATTCAACATTTCTATCTTAAAATTTAGGAAATTTTGGGCGTACTCACATTTCGTATAGGGTGAGTTAAGCTAAATATGTATGAAAGTATGGACCTACTAAATAATTACGTAAAGGTAAAATTGTCAATAATTACTAAATAATTACGTAAAGGTAAAATTGTCATTAATTTCTCATTTGGTTTCGAAACTCAACGTTAGTCCCCTTATATTTTAGAAATTACATGACACCCTTTTATATTTTACAAACATTGTAAGAAACCATTTTTTACATATTTTGTGCGATGAAAATATGATTTCTCATATATATATATATATATTTTGCATGTCGGGAGTTCCATGCAATATATATATATTTTGATGATATGAGAACCCGCAGCCGCTACCCGAAAGTGCGTACTGAGTAAACCCCCCGGCCGAACCTAATACTTTGTAAATTAGGTCCGACAGGCAAGTCACACTAGGCAAACCATGTGTGGCAGGTAACCTGAGGCGTTTATAAATAAACGTCATATAAGAAGACGTCATGTAATTTTTAAAGTATATGAGAGATTTACGTTGAATTTCGAAACCTGGAGAATTATGACAATTTTATTTTAGATAAATTGTAGACATATTATAAAGACAAATAATACTTCTAAAGATAATATTGCGTACATAATTATGTTAATATAATACAAATACAAAATAAATTGAAAGCACAAATATAACCACAAATAAGATATCATATAAATACAAACAACATATGAATGACAATACATAATATAAGAATATACAACACAACATATGAGATACAATACATGAAGTATCCTTATATAAAACAAAATGAAGTACTTGAACTATTTGCACATGACACTGTCTCACCACAACATATATTATAATTGATTTCAACATAACAAATTTACTTCCTCCGTCGTGCAAATGTATACTCATTTAACTGTGCACGAGTTTTAATAAAAGTGAGTAATAATTGTTACTTTTTTCTTTTATAGTAAAAAAATGTACAAAAATGTAATAATTTTTTACTTAAAAAGGTAACGAGAATATTTTTCAATAACGTAAAAAGAAAAGTAAACATAAATTTGAATGACGGAGGGAATATATAAATACAATACACCTATATATTTTTATTTAACACAACATGTATAACATCTATTGTTTGAGAGTTTTATGTATGCTAAATAAGAAAATCTATATCGCACCAGAATCCATCAGAATTAGATACTCCCCCCGCCCCAATACAATAGTCATGTTTACTATTTTTGTCCGTTTAAAAACAAGTCTTATTTTCTCATTATTATTATATAATTGCAACTGCTTTTTACACTAATACAC